TTGCGGGGTTTGCCCCTTCGAGGGGCAGGATGCTTGAGCACCCCAGATCCTCCATAACCATCATGGAGTGCTGGGGTTGCACCACCTCCATGCTGGCACGTCTGCGTGCCGGCAGCCCTGTGCATGGGGTGCTACCACCATCTCCATGGCCCCCGCCTTTGGGCATGGCCGGGTGCCGGTGGGTGGCTGCGGTGAGCTCAGCCCCAGGGCGACCGCTCAGTCCCAGCCCCTTGTGCCCTCGGCCCCGCTCACCTTGCGGCAGATATCGAGGCGGACGGTCAGCTCAGCCCGGTGGGACAGGTAAACCACAGCCACCAGGTCCTTGTAGTTGGGGGGGTCTGTGGACAAGAAGAGAGAGCACGGTGGTGGGACAGGTCCTTCTGTCCCCAAGAGCCACCAAAGGCCCCCAACCCCAAGACCGGCTGAGCCTTGTGGGAAGCCACCAGTGATGACCCCACGGCACGCATTCGGGATGGGTGGCCAGGGCCAGCCTGGTTTCGGCAGGGCACGTGGTACCTGCCCCGAGGACCTGCTCCGAGAGGCAGCGGAAGAGCAGCATGGAGCCGGGGACGTCGCTGAGGCAGGCGATGAGCCCCTGGTACCCGATGTCCTTCAGCTTCAGGCGGTTCTTGCTGCGCTCGGAGACCTTCTCGTACTTCAGCATCTTGTAGAGGACCTGGCGAGGCAGAGAGGGGTGGCCACCCTGCTGTGGGAAAGCCCCTGGCCGCTGGGGACGGCAAGAGGTTGGCGCTGGGGACCCGCCTTACCTTGAAGACCCTCTCCCGCACTTCATCCGAGAACTTCTTCTGCACCAGCAACGAGAAGAGGACCTCCACGTGGCCTGGCTCAAAGAGGAAGGCAAAGAGCTGCTCCTGGGCAGGCGAGCCCTTCAGCAGGCTGTGGATCACCTCCAGTGCCCCGCAGACCTGCAGGACATGGGGCTGGTTGTCCACTGCCCTCCACATGTCCCACCAGGACCTCAGCGGCTTCTCCCCAGCACCGGGCCAGCCCATGGCACACCGAGGTGTTTGGGGACTCGGGTGGCTTGGTGCCGTACCTGCTGCTCGTCCTGCGCCCCAGCCACGTAGCTCAGCAAGCTCTGCATCTCCTCTCCGGAGAAG